GGGGGGGTTGAGTATCTGCTCCATGTACGGCGTATCTACGCATAGCCACGGTATCAATTCAGCATATTTGCCGCCACTTTACGCTCAAACACCTGCTTGCACAGTCCGTGAGCCTTTGCTGTGGGTAGTGCCATTGCTGCCCGTGCCCGCTATCCCTAGAATGTTCAACAGAGTGCCTTGTCGTTGCCGATCCTCCTGTTGATCTCTTTTCAACAGCCCTGGTGGCACTATCCGCGGCCGTCATGCCATGTCAATCAGCCTAGCCATGTCTCAAGCTGATCTGATCTCAGTGCCAGGGTGCAGGAGGAGTCGGTCGCTCACACCGCCACTTGTATAGACACGATCAGCAACAAGGCCAGGGTATTCACTCCGATCAGGGTATCGATTCGTGCGATTGTCGCATTTGATAAGATCACTCGTCTGCCAGTTTCCACTCACACACCCCCTACACGCCGTTTAGCAGCCCTGTGGCGGATATTAAACTCAAGTCTCTGAGGTCTAGACCACCGGGATCTGCGAGGTCTGTTCATACTTTCTGGTGCAAACATTTCCGGAGGCGCGGGAGCGAGGTCAAGGTTCCCGTGTGTACGAGGTGAATAAGTTGGCATGGTCTTGTTCCCTCCACTCTGACAACGTTCTTCGCACTTCGCGCGACGTTTGACGACCGAACCATGGCTGAAATTTGGCTTTCTCCTGTTGGATACTTTGCCCTAGTGCCAGCCCCTGAGTCCGTTCATTGGTCAGCCACCTGATAGCCTCTACAAAATGGCAACCAATGCCCGCGTGTCTTTCACTCCTCCTCCCATACGGGCGAATATCCCTTTCGGGCATTAGAGGGATCTGGACCTCGCCGATCGGTATACCTCCATGACCCCAGACCACTTACCTGGGAGCTAGGCAGCCCATGTGCTTGTTTTGCGCCAACTAGCCACATTTCCGCTTTGCTCTCGGCGTTTTATGACCTCAGAGTACTCGGTCCTGACGCGCGCGTCCTCGTTTGTTGTCTCCCGCGCCACGTTTTGCCCGACTCCGAGAAGTGCAGGAACTCTATATCGAATATCATTCCAGAAGATGTCGGCAGTTGGGAACATAGGCTAGTGTGTATAGACAGACGTTGCAAGGAGAATAGGACAATGAGCAGTCAAGTTCCAGGCCACTTGGCACGGCTCGAGCTGGAGCGTAGGGATTGTGACATCTTTGGCTGCCCACGGCATCCACAAACGCACGGACCTACAGTATAATCCCTGAAACCCCGCTTTCTCTCACGAGTCGCGTATGCAGGGAGGGGAAGAAAACGAGACACTCGTGAAGAGCAGCCCTATTCGGCATCGCGTGGATGACGATTAATATGGCACCGGCAAGTTCTGCTTGTCATGCATGGAGATGAGCACTCACTGGACTTGGTAGAACACGCCCCCCCTCCCGGCGGATGCGGTATCTGATCGTGGCAAATTGCGAGATTACTGTCTTTGTCTTGCCTAGGTTGCTCTCTAAAGGAAAAACATACTGCCATTGTGTAATTGCGTCATATCCCGCGATTGTTGTAACCTGGAGGTGGCTGGTTGGACTACACCTGCGGAGCTCAGCTGCCCAGGGGAGGAGCATTGGTGGAGATCGTCTGAAACTCTGTCCTGCTGTCAGGCGTGGACCACCAAGTTTTGATGGCTATTGGTAGACTGACTGGGTGAACATGGCAAAGATGAGGGATTTGCTCACGAGCTCCTCTTTTCACTGGGTTTCGTCTCCCTGCTCCAGGTCCATGGTTCTTCACATGCCGAGTCCTTGCAATCAGTCCTGAACGAATGAATTGGACGACTTACCAGCAAGTCAAATACGAGATGAAGTGTGTATCAGCTTGGTTGCAACTTACTCACTAGATAAATCCCAGACCCTTTTTCAACTGCGTGTGCCAATGTATGGGGTGGGAACCACGAAGTTTTTAGGGGAAGAGGCCAATTTGATCCATTCACCCTGCCCTCCCAAACGACAGGCGTTGTCCAAGTTGCCACCAAACGTCAATAGCGAGCCAACAGGCAAACTTACCCTGTTCGGCGACGCTGCCTGGAGGAGGCCTCGATGGCATCAGGGTTTCCCCAACCCCGGGTGACACCAGGGTTTCTGGCGTTTTTGCTTTCGACATGAGTCAGCCCAATGTTTCAGCCCCATTGCTTGCAGTCTTGCAGTTCGCATTTCCGATAAGTATGTCTCCTTCCGTGTTCGGACTATCACCTGTCATTTCCCTTTCCGATAGCAGAATACTCAATGGCTGCCTTGATCCCGCTTGTTCGACTGTTCCAAAACCATCTTGTACGAGGTAGGGGTTTACCTACCACCATGAAGGTTCGTCTTGTGGCTGGCCGTGCCGAAGTGGCGGCGCGAAAGGCAGGGAAAAGAGTGCTTGGTGCTGTAGATTCGGCCGAACAGGTCATGAAAGAAACATTGCGATTCCTGCACCGTCGTATCGGTGGGCCCCAAGGACGTTCAGGGGGTGCTCGCATGCCAGTAGTTTGTTGGCCTTATCTGCATCTCGGTGTAATGGTTGTCAGGAGTCATTGGCTGCTCAACCCTGGAGTTACAGGAGCCCAGAGGAATCCGCTTGCAGGGATGCAAACCATTGTCGGGGTCCTGTTCCAACCTCCAGCTAAAATGCGCTATGCGTGTCACCAACTCCTTCCTGTGCTGTTGCCACTACGTCTCGGACCGTAAGTCGAGCTTGCCAGCACTTGCTTGCTGAGGTGGCTGCAAAACTTTCGAGTCTCGTAGATTCCTCAGGGGACACATCGGGAGCGAGCGACTGAGCATCCCCGTGAAAGGCGTCAAGACCCGCTTCGAGGATTGCATTCTCTTGAATACAGGCGCCACAAACGGCAATGGACGAGTTATTGTTGCGACTGTCTCGGAGAAACTTTATTGACGGTAGTCTGTTCACATGTGTTGTCACCAGAAAAGGTCGATATGTCCGTACACATCGTCTGCCGGTGTGAAGATCGAGAGGTAATGACGGCGGCATCAGATCCATGTACTTAAGGGTTCAGCAAGCCGTTCAAGGTTTCTTGTGAAGCCGAAGCAGAGCTGCTTGATACCGCGCTACAACCACCATAGAATAGCCTCGAATGCTGAGACTTCATCTTGCTCCATGTGTGAGTATGCTAGAACATTCTTCTGCCGTCATTACTTTGTGTCGAATGGTTACGACGTCCTTCAGTGTGAGATATCGCAACGGTTCAACAAAAAGTTCTTGCAAAATTCGAGGCGATGATCTCGTGGCAAACAGTGTCAGGGCAACGTTCTCGTGCATTTCGATGGGTAGAAAGACGATGTGAGCCGATAAGATCCTTATACAATCGATAAATAGTTGAAGTAGGATATACTGCACAGATAAGGACAAATCGGCAAACCATATGCCTCTTAAGCTGTTGCCGCTTTCAAAACTGTGTATTACTCGATTAAGCAAGACATACTTTGACAATATGATATGCATGGAATTTGACAGGAGATGTTGGTTAAGACCGCAGGATGCTTGGGGTTTGGAATGGTTTAATATTCATAACCTCCTTAATATAGTTTTGCTAGACGCGTCAATCCATCTAGTTATACCGAACTCTTCTGGACGGTGACTTTGTTTCTTTTCATGTCCTGGTTCAGAAAATTGCGGAGATTCGACCATGCCGTTTCGCATTCAGGATATAGGAAGGAATGAGAGCGAACGGGTTAGAGGTGAATGTGGGTGGTCATGTCTCTAAGTTCAAACGTGGAAGAGGATGAGACAGGCACAGTGTGCAACTATCTGTGGAAAGAGAGCATCTGGAGGTCAAGCTGAATGCATAGTTTTGGGCTGTCGAGCGAGGAAGTGGGAAGGCAATAGTGAGTGTGTCTGCGTGGGGGACATGCCCATTTAGCGGTAGCTGCTTGATAGAGTGCATGTCAGGCTGTTCGGCAGCCTTCCTGAGTCATGATGAGATATGACAAAGGTTCTATGTTGGTATTGTAGTTGGGTTGGATTGGGGAGCAGAGAGTGAGAGTTGTTTACGATGTTGTTCGTTCGGTGTGGGAAACAACTCTCGGCAAACCTTCTCTATGGAGGTGCTGTGAATGATTGAGGTCTGACAAATTCAAATGACACACACCACCGAAATAGGGACTGGCGGTTCCCAGAATTTCTCCGACACCTCAGCTTCATGAAATATTCGGGGCGCCGTACGCTTCTTCTCCTTACAGCGGTATTTCTTTGTTTCCCAAGGGTGTCTCTTAGGGACCCAACAGGATGCTACTCGACATTCAGCTGCAGTTTTTCTGTATATCAGCAGGACTGGGGAATATTCAAAGAGGTTTGTCTGCTCACAAAATAAAATCCAAAGTTGGAAGCAGGAGAGAATACTCTAGTAAAGATTACCAAAAACGTTGTAAGATCTTATATTTTCTGTTGTCTCGCATCAATGAAGAGTGACTTCCCACTTGCGAGCAGCTTGCCCTGCCCGTCCTCGATCCTCGCCTTGATCCATGTTTTCCGCCCTTGTCGCTCGATCGGCCATGCGCGACACAGTATCACCCCTGGCGTGTCAATCGGCGCCTTGTAATCGACTGTCATAGTAGCTGTCGACGGTGCCATGGTCTGTGACACCATTGACGCCACAGTTCCAGTCATCTGATCCAGCAACAAGGCATTGAAACCCCCGTGTGCACGACCCGTCTTGCCATCGATCCCAGGCCCAAGGGACAAGAGACAACAGTATTCCCAGGGAATGATAGAGTCTGGCTCTGCCGTGCGTCGCTTAAAGTTGATTTGCGCGCGGATACCGTCGGCGGTGTAGAGAGTCTGTCGGAACATACTGTTGGAGAGATCTTTGTTAAAGGGGGGATCATTCCGATAAGGGTGCTGATAGGGTATATCGACTTCGAAGATGTCAGACTGTAAAAGCTTCTTGCACCAAGGAATATCAAAGTCTGCGTGAAGCTTGGACACCATGGTTGTTGAATCAGCTTTTGAGGTCTTAATGTCGTTGGCCGGAATGATTTGAGCAATTGACCGGGAAAATGAGAGGAACCAAACCGCTAGCTCCCGATATTTCTATACGCAATATTCTAAAGCTGGGGTGGGTATGACTGAAAGAGTGGCAAGCGACACGGCGTTCTTCCAACAAAACACGATAAGAAATACAAGGCAATGGTGTTGAGACAATATTCCAAAAGGTGGTAGACATCAACCCACCTTGTACCTGATGAGCCTCGGTACATCCACATTTAGCAAGCTCGGCGATACCGGCCCGGCTCACCTTGGCAAGTTTGGCGCAATTGCCTCCCCACGTCCGCCGACACAAATGCGGGGTGGGTGGATAAGTTCGCCTCTTCAGTTTCATTCGCGCCTTTACCCTAGCCTGCCAGACTGCCACGCCTGTCTAGGTAAGCAAGGCTCTCGAGTCGAGATTGTAGGGCGATCTCTCTGGTACCATCTTTTTCTAGACACACATGCTACTCCATACACGATTCATCGAGCTGAGAGCGCACATCGATCGCGTCCAAGGTTGAAGGCTGAAAATGGGATCAACAGGGCATCATTAGTTGCAGTTGCCAAGGAAAGAATCGGAGTTTCAACTCCCATCATAAAGGAATTACGGGGAACCAAGCTAACGACACAAGTCTTGATGCTGGACAGTCTGGCCACCGACGCATCGTCATCATCCACCGAACGATGACATTGCGGCGACGGCGACCTCTTAAGAGCCATCGCTAACTTTATCAATTCCACAGTTGCTGATACTACCTTGCGTAGGGACCCCGAAACCTCCCAGTCCTGCGTCTTCAACGCCAGTCATCTCCCAACTTACCGTCTCACGAGCTTGATACGTGGTCCTGTGTCTCGGAACCACCATTCTCGGGTTAGCTAGTCAACCGTCATCGCACAGAATTCACATCACGTGGTGGCAATAGACTCCGGTATCTGCGAGGACAAGGACAGATACAGGAATATTTGTTTCCAGATCTGCCACAGACGACGTTGATCTCTGTCATCGAGGCTATTAGTTCATGACACGCTCTCGGGAACCCGTACCTGATGAGGATTCCGCTCTCAATGGCCTTCGCCTCCAACGAGCAGCAGTCTGGCCTGGAGCCACCCAAATTTAAGACCAAAACGCATGTCTGGAATATGCCATTCTCACAATCAGTATCGACTGGAGTTATGTGATATGAATTCATTCGGTAGTTTCACAGTCGAGAACGCTCGCTTCGTAGGCGAGCTGAGAAGAAATAACAAGTAGTCAGCCAGCCACTGAGAGCCCCAATTCAATGATTAGAACCTGAATAGAGATGATTTTGCCGATGCCCAAAGTATAAATCGGGCTAGACTCACACTTTCCTGATTCGGTGCTAGATGTCCTTTTCTCCACCTCAATGAGGCTAATAGCGGGCTAGACACCTGCCTATTGCGGCCGCGGCTTTGGCTGATCTCGGTATCTAGCAAGCGTTCTAGATCGCCAGTCTCTTCCTGCGCTGTATCTAGTTGCGCCCCGAACGGCTAAACGGGTTTAAGAAGCTTCGATATTCTAGGTAGGACTTCTGATTCTATACGAGATGCAAGGGGACACCTCGGTGGCCAGACCTAGCCACCGTACTCGAATTTTTCGATATATAAGTCCCTGGAAACAAGCTTCTCTGGCTAACGGCAGCATTTCTTAACCCGTGATACTAATCTTCTCCTACCGCATTGCATTCCACGAAACGCCAACCTGGAATATTTAACTCGGGTCACAAACCCAGCCTGCACCACGAGCAGGTGCGAAATATGAAGCTACTTTCCTTTCTCTCCTTGCTCGGCATCGCCGCTCTCGCCGAAGCTGGAGCCTGCAACAGTGGGATCAATGCAATTGCCGTCCCTCTGCTGAAGGGATACCCCCCCGCGCAGTCCTTCTGTAGCGCAAAATACCCTCAGCCAGTCGTATCCGTCACATTCAAGGATAAACGGGGATACATTCGAACATCTTCCACAACGACAACGACAAGACACTCCTCCTCGACAACCACGACGACAACAAGAACCCCATCAACGACGCCCACCACTTCAAGAAGTGCTACGACGACTCAGGACGCCAAGGCATCGCAATGGTCTGTCTTGGTGTCCGAGGCTGGAGCAGCTTTGTCGACCTTCTGCTCCTGCATCGAAACTCCCAGCACCAAGACTGTGAGTCGACGGTCAAAGTGATAGATGCGCTGTTGCTAACAAATGCTTATAGGTTACTCCCATGACGACAACAACCACCACTACCACCACCACCACGACAACGACCACGACAAGCACGATCCCGACAACGACGACTTCAACGCTTACCTGCGTCCCACAGGGGGGCGTCTGCAACGGAAGCAATGAATGTTGTCAGACTCCAATGCAGTTCTGCTTCGGGGCATCCATTGGTGCTGTATACACGTGCAACACTCCGGAACCCACGTCATTGAAAAAGAAAGATGTACCTATTACAAGCATGATTCGAGGGAGAAAATATGGTTGAGCTGGGGGACTCACACGGCGATGGCTGGCGCATTTGCTTCAACCGTCTAGTGTCATGAGTGATCTTATAGTAAAGATGTCGTAGGACGTTACCACCACCTCGAGATATGAACCTCTTTGCTGCTTCCTTTTGCGCGAGCCAGTTTGCTCCCCACCTTTTGTCTTCAGCAGCTTCCGAAATCTGAACCTTTGGAGGTAAATTATGTAACTGATGCAATATGGGGAGAAGTAGGCAAACAGTTATGTAAGTATTATGCGTTGTCATACCGGGTCTGTTTCCCCTTTTTCCTGGGGCGGTGTGCCCTCTCCTTGTACGTATTCCAGACGACGGTAACTGACAAATCAAAATGAAAAAAAAAAGGAGACGCCTCAGACATACAGGGATGTGCCCAATTTGTCCAATCGGTTCGTCGATACCGCGGATCTACAGGCTGCCTCTTTCACAAGGAGCGAAGCGACCTCGGTAAGTGAGCATCGGGTATCATAGACCAAAATACTGAAGCATTGTGACATGCGAAACTGGGGCTCTGGCAACTCTAGTACTGCGCAAAAGGACCAGGTCTCATAAGTGAATGCGATATCACTGGACCTTTATTCCCCGATTCCTCCTTCCTGCCGGCAAGACAAGTACTGGTCTGCGAAAGGCACCTGGGCCAACCTCCAAACACTTTCAATCTACACCACCAAGATTGCAGACGATCAAGACAGTCCTTCGCCACCAGTTCTAAGGCAGTAGTTCACACAAATAGATACGAGAAAGGCTTCAACGAGCTGCTGTCAGGACCTATGTGCCATCCTTATTGATACTCGGTATCAGATCGGCCGGGCCCGGCTGAAAGCATTGCTTGAATCCTCTCCAAGTTATAGAGGCACGAATAGGCATTGAGGACCCATCATGGCAACCTCGGTGAGGGATCCACAGTTGCTGTGGGCCGTTTGACCGGATCTGGGGAGTGGATATGGACATGGAGGATATCGATCCCCCGCTCTGTACGCAGATGGTGCATTTCGCTTCACATGCCATATGGCCAGGTATTCGCTCGCTGACTCGGATCCATGTTCAACAGGGATTGTCCGGCCACTACTACTCGTAAGCCCAAGGTCCGAGGCAAGATAGTACCTAACACATGAAGTCATGTTATTGCTTCGACCTAGCCTTTGGCTTTTATATAGGAATACCGTGGCCCCTGCGCTTCTCGTACCGCAGGGTTCTTTGCTAGCTTATCCCCTTCCCTAAAGCCATCGCAAACAATCGCGATCCTCAGCAACACGACGACGCATGCCACAGAGGGCAGACCGGGGAAAGGGTTCGAGCAGGACCGACAATGGAACTGGAGGAACTTCTGGATCTGTTTCGCCCTTGCGAGCTCAGGCATGGCGGCGTTTGGATATCCATCCTCGATCATCGGCGTCACCCTCGCACAGCCATCGTTCCTCTTCTATATGAAGCTCATCGACCCCGCGACGGGAGAGAAGGCCCACAACGCCGACTCTCTGATCGGGGCCATGTCTGGTGTCTTTCAGGTTTGGGAGAATCCCGCAATATGGCTTCCTGGCCAGGCCAGTCCGTACATGAGCCTTGACTGACTAATTCATGACCAATAGGCCGGAGCCTGTATAGGTGTCATGATGACGAGCGAAATCATGGACAGGTGGGGACGAAAGGCAGCAGCAGCATTCTGTGTGGTCACGAGCCTCATTGGCGGTGCGGGTCTGACTGGTTCGGTCAACACGACCATGTTCATTATATTCCGCTTGATTGCTGGAGGAGGAGCATGGGGGTTCCTTACACTCAGTGCGTTGTCCATAACAAATGCCTGGGCTGGCAGCTTGCGGCGGCGATGCTGACTTTTGCTCAAGTTCCGGTCTACGTGGCCGAGTTGGCACCGCCAAAATTGCGAGGCTTCTTTGTCGGCCTGATCGGGGTGTTCATCAACGTCGGCTACTCCATCGCCACTTACATGGGTCTGGCTTTCTACTATGTTGAAAACAACCCGGGCGCGCAATGGCGAGGGCCCCTCGGTCTTGCGCTGATTTTCCCGGCCATCCATATGCTAGTCGTCTTGTGGGCGCCAGAGTCGCCACGGTACCTGTTGATGAAAGGCCAGGTCGAAGACGCCAAGCGGATCGTCATGGACATCCACAAAGTGCCCAACGACCCGGATCAAGAATACGCCCGTGGTGAGTTTTACCAGATGCAGAAACAGGCAGAGTTCGACCGGAGTCTCGCGCCGACGTACCGGGCCATGTTCTTCAAAAAATCGTACCGCCAGCGGAATCTGTTGGCCTGTGGTTTCGCTTTCCTGGGGCAGTCCACTGCGGTCCTGGTCATCAACAATTATGGTCCTACGCTGTACGGTGCTCTTGGATACGGCACCGTGGATCAGTTGAAGCTCCAGTGCGGATGGATCACCATTGGCAACTTTGCCAACCTTTTCGGTAAGGGCATTGGCGAAGATACTTACGAAGAAACAAGATCAGGACTAACATTGTCCTACAGGTGCTGTGATTATAGACAGGGTGGGTCGACGCCTTCTCATGCTTGGAGGTATCTTCGGCTGCTGTCTTTGCCTGATCATCGAAGCCGCCATCGTTGCCAACTTCGCCAGCCCGGTGCCCACGACGCCGAACCTTTCCGCGCTGCGGGCCGGTGTTGCCATGTTGTACCTCTTCCTCCTGTGCTACGGCTGCGGCGTCGATGTCGGTGGCGTCGTCTTCTACAGCGAAGTCTTCCCAAACCATATTCGGGCAAGGGGTGTGGCGATGGCCATTTGTGTGACTTCTCTGGCCGATCTCATCTACCTCCAAGTGGCCGCCACGGCATTCGCGAACATTGGCTGGAAGTTCTTCCTCGTCTTCATCATCATTTCCGGCCTCGGCGGCATCGTAGCTTTCTTTGTAATACCAGAGACGAAGGGATTGCCACTCGAGGAGATCTCCGCCATCTTTGGAGATACCGACGAGGTTGTCGTCTACTCGGAGGATATCCACGTCGACCATCAAACGCATGATCTCGTCGTGGACGTCCATACTGGCAAAACGGTTGGGGACCCTGGGGGTGAACCCATCCGGAAGGTAGCAACAGAAGCACCAGGGGATCAAGGAGACAACAAAATGGAGGCAGCTCATGTCGAAGGTTCTGAGTTGATAACTTCATCGACAGAAAAAGACACCTGAGTGAAACGCCTAGACTTCCCCAGGTCCACCATGTGTATTTACCTCTAGACTCTATACCGATATATTTATCCCTGGACGGACGTGACCTCACAAAGGTCCAGTCTCCGCTCTCCGTTCTGGACAATAGCAGCTCTGGCTTTGACTGTTGATCAGGTTATGCTTTTTTTTTTTTTGTTTGCCCGACGCAGCGAGCGTGCCTCTTGTCCCTGTATACGAAAACGGGCGGGTTGTACACGAGGTCTTGGGCCAGCCCTGCACGGAGGTGTCCAAGCCGGAGGAACGGCCGAGCTGGAGGGAAGCATTATGAAGCTTTACGTTTTCTGGTGAACAAGATTGCACAGTGCCCATTCGCGTAACTGGTAGTCCCCGAGGCTAGTCAAACCATTTGCCGATCATAGTCGACATGTTGGTACTAGTGTGTGGAGCGTGCCGAGGTCCATCCGAGGCCTGCTCCATTCAGAGCATCGAGCATATTACACTCTGAAAGTAGGACGGGTTGATTAGAATATGTATTAGAGCTCACCGAGCCCCGTCATGCCACTCTGTACATCTGTCCTCGCAGCAAACTTCCGCGGACCGTCGCTGCCCTATATCAGCACCCAACAGCGGGTGGCTACGGCTGTCGACCTATGTCTACCTTCAAGATGAATATTAACAATCAGGGTTTCATTCAACACGAAAGTATCAAAGTGCAGATTGTGTTGAGACTAACATGTGTATTCTACCACTTCCCCAACTCACATAATCAAACAGAAACCTCACCATCTAGTGACGATTTCAGGTGCCTGACGCGGCTACACACATGCCACACATGTTGTTGAATCTCCTCACTCCGCACGAACACACCACGCCATGGTGAGCCTCGGCAGGGGTGGGTTTGCGCGGAGAAGTGCGGGCATCGGTTGCGACCAACATCACTCTCGCTATCGTTTTCATAAAAATGTATGGAAATCCTCGATCATTGATGTGGTATCAAAAACAATCAACCTGATCGTTGCGACCGAGATAGTCTTTTCCACCATGGCCACCCAACTCGACTTCGATGTGTTGATTATTGGCGCTGGATTGAGTGGAATCTATTCCCTGCATCGTATGCGCCAGCTGGGATTGAAAGCCAGAGTACTCGAGGCTGGCACAGGCGAAGGAGGGACATGGTATTGGTTGGTGCCACCGGATGTTGTTGAGTAGCCAGGGATCGTGGACGAGGTTGACGCTGTCTGCAGGAATCGATACCCCGGCGCCCGCTTTGATTCTGAGAGTTATTCTTACAACTACTCCTTCTCACAGGAGTTGCTGGACGAATGGAGCTGGACGGAGCATTTTGCCCCTCAGCCCGAGACGTTGCGATATATTCAATTCGTCACCGATAAGTTCGACCTGCGACGAGATATGCAGTTCAACACCGAAGTCCAATCGGCACATTACCACGACGACAGTCGATCGTGGGAACTGACCGACGACAAGGGTAACCGATATACCTCGAGGTTCCTGATCACTGCGATGGGTATTTTGAATAAACCAACCCTTCCCAACATTCCAGGTCTCGATGACTTCAAGGGACAAGCCTTCCATACCGCCCGCTGGCCACGGGAACCTGTCAGTCTCCAAGGCAAACGGGTGGGAATAATCGGCACCGGGGCCACGGGAATACAAATCATCCAGGAGATTGTGAAGACCGTGGGTCATTTGACGGTGTTCCAGCGAACCGCGAACTGGTCGGCTCCACTCCGCAACGCAAAAATCACGCCAGAAGAGATGGACGAAATCCGTAAGCACTATCCCGAGATATTTAAGAAGTGCAAGGAATCAGCCACCTGCTTTGTGCATCCAGCAGAGCCACGGAAGTTAGCCGACGTGTCCGAGGCGGAAAGGCTGGCACATTGGGAAGACATATACTCGCGCCCGGGGTTTGCTAAATGGGTCAGCAACTTTCCGGATGTCGCATATGATCGGCAGGCAAATGCTGCCTGTAGCGAATTCTTCGCCAATAAAATTCGAGAAAGGGTCAAAGATCCCGTCACGGCAGAAAAGCTCATTCCAAAGGACCACGGCTGGGGAACGCGACGGATCCCAATGGAGACCCATTATTTCGAGGCATACAACCAAGACAATGTTCGATTAGTCGACATCAAAGAGGACCCGATCGAACGGGTGACAGAGAAGGGTGTCAAGACTCGCAGTGAAGAATTTGAACTGGATATTCTGATTTACGCCACTGGTTTTGATGCTGTGACAGGGTGTTTCACTGCCGTCGACTTTCAGGGCGTTGGCGATCAGAAACTGAACGACGTCTGGAGCGAGGGCCCCCGTACACAGCTAGGTCTTTTCGTGCACGGATTTCCTAACATGATGATGGTCATGGGGCCTCACCAGATGTTTGGTAATATACCCCGAAGTATCGAATTCGCGGTTGACTGGATTGCCGACTGCATAAGCTATTGCCGAGACAACAACATTACACGGATTGAAGCGACTGAGAAGGGAGTGGCAGAGTGGACTGACCATGTCTACAAATGTTCCGAGGGCCTGTTGACAAACGAGGTTGACTCTTGGATGACAGGGATCAATAAGAACCTTGCTCACAAGCAGAAGAGGACCATTGCACGCTACATGGGACCTGCTCCGGGGTATAGGAAGAGGTGTGATGAGGTTGCTGCAAGGAAATATTCAGATTTGGCCTTGGCTTGATAGTATGGTCCGTTGGCCACTGTTATGGCAATGCACAAGTTTACCTTTGTGGTCTGATGAGAGCGAGCGGTGTTTTGAGCTTGTCGGAAGGGCTTGCATCGTCTCTTTGGCTGTTGTAACAGCACCGCATGCTCTAGCCATGTTGAATATAAAGAGACTGTATTTTTCAGATAGGCCATGGTTAGACCTCGAGGCGACGCCTCGACCTCTATGTGGTTCTGAGAATTTGCTTTAAGTCGTGAAATCTTCTGTGAAAAGAGACTTTCGGCCAAGTGCGGCGTGAGATTAGCATGGTAATTAGAAGTTGATGGAGAATAGAATCGGGCTGCGGCGGTGCAGGAAAGGACAGAGTTGGGTTGAGGAGCTAGAATCTGCCCACTTACATGTAGGTGAGTCTGGGCGTTAGTAGTTTAGGTGCTTTTAGGTGCTGGGAACCAGCCCTGAAGGTACTTATTAGGGTCCTTTCTAAGTGACAGGCGTGACAGATGAGCCCCGTCTAGACACCTCGGTTGGCGCCCCCAAGGCTTTTCGCTAAGTAATCAAATGGGGGAACCGACACCTGCCTAGTAAGTTAGGGTTATAGGTAAAGCACTCACCCTCTGTCAATGTCTAGTTGCCGCCACCGTCCGCCTTCACTCTTCGCATTCATGTCATCCTTCGGAATAACCATTATCAAAGACGCACCCTTGAAAATGTTCCCCATCCCCACTGGACAACTCTCATACAAAAATCACTCAAGGGAGAATACACTCCACTCCTTGGAGATATTACACCCTCGGCAGTCGTTTGTCTCTGCTGCGGAGTTGTAACTATCTCCGACTCATCTCATAAGCATGAGGACGGAGCTGGTCCAGAAAACGTGGCTCATATGACTCCAAAACTGTCGTTGACTTTGGCTATATCGTGGTTTGGCTGATAGAGTTCTCGATTCGACTGAATATCCCGAAATTTTTTTGTCAGGATGGCCCAGGAATATCAGCTATATATAAACGGCAAACAATGCCGGGGTGGCCGCCCAAGCGAAGACACGATCAATCCGTACACCAATAAACCTTGGGCAAAGGTGGCACAGGCATCCGTCGAAGATGTACAGGCTGCAATTCGAGCGGCTGGGGTGGCCTTTGAAAGCTGGTCCAAAGTTCCTGGTGTCCAGAGAGCCAAACTGCTGAACAAGCTGGCCGATCTGATCGAGGAAGAAGCTGAGTCGCTGTCCATAATCGAGTCGTCCGACAATGGCAAGATTCGACGCGAGACAAAGAGCCAGATGTTCTTTTCCGCCAGAAACTATCGGTTCTTTGCTGGGATGGCCGACAAGTTGACTGGCGAGGTGAAGCCGATGGACAATCCGCATGTCTTCGACTATACCATGCGCGAGCCTTATGGTGTTTGTGCTTTGATCACGCCGTGGAACAGTCCCATTGCTATCCTCACCAACAAGCTGGCTCCGTGTCTCGCAGCAGGAAACACGTGCGTGGTTAAGCCCTCGGAGTATACATCAGTGAGCACGTTATACTTCGCCAAACTTGTCGAGAAGGCAGGATTCCCGCCTGGTGTGTTCAATGTCGTGACGGGAAAAGCAGAAGTCGGCAGGGCTCTAGTGACCAACCCAGCCATCGGTCGCATCAGTTTCACTGGCAGTGTCGATATCGGCCGCATAGTCGCTCAGCAGGGGGCGCAAAATATTGTTCCGGTAACGCTCGAGCTTGGAGGAAAGTCAGCAAACATCATATTGGATGATGCTGAGCTGGACCGGGCGATCCCAGGCAGTGTCGCAGGTATCTTTGCTGCGTCGGGCCAGACATGCATCGCGGGCTCACGGCTACTGGTCCATCGGTCCGTCTACGATACCGTCGTCCAAGGGATTCTGGAGCGGATCAAATCAATCAGATTCGGCGATCCGCAAGACATGACCACAGACATTGGACCTGCTGCGCACGCCGCACAATGGGAAGCTATACACCAACACATCGAAAAGGCCGAGAAAGCCGGCGCGAAATTACTGGTGGGCGGGAGAGAGGCGAGCAAAAAGATCGGAGGACTCTTTGTCGCGCCGACGGTCTTTGGCGACGTCGATCCGAACAGCGACCTCGCGCAAAAGGAAATCTTTGGGCCCGTACTCGCAGTGATCCCCTTTGATTCGGACGAGCAGGCCGTCAAGATCGCCAATGGCACCATCTTCGGCCTCGCTGCCGGAATCTGGACCATGAACATCCGACGCGCCCATAAACTGGCCAGCCAGCTCAAAGCGGGTCAAATCTGGGTCAATACATACCGGGCGGGTGCCGCCATGGCTCCTTTTGGCGGGTACGGACAAAGCGGATATGGCAAGGAGCGCGGTACGGAGGCATTGCTGGAATATACACGCATCAAGAACGTCATGGTCGACCTCAGCGACGAGGTGAGGGATCCATTCACTATCAAGGTCTAGACAACAGATGGGTTGTATGCAGGCCAACACATCAGAAATGGACCTTTCGATGTTCACCGCCTGCATCGCTCAACATCTACAAACATGCGGCCGCTGTCGAGCGAGAAGATGGGAGGAGAGAAAACAGGAGAGGCCACCAAAGACCTGGACCGAACCAGAGGAATGATTCAAGTCTCCTGCAGGATTATGGTGGATATATATATTCAGTAACGGCTTCATGTCAGCGGCTGAGACGTACAACGACCATCGCAAAAGCAGTCAGATAACAACGCTTTTTTGGTAGCGAGATAAGAGAGACAAACACCGTCCCAACCAGCAGACTTGTTCCCGCAGCGAGTACATCCATCCCCAACATGTCCCAACCAAACCCGATTGTTATCGCTATCAACTCGCAGCTGTCAAAGGTGGTGCATTGTAAGTCCTCGCCGTGGCTCTCGCTTGCTTGTTTGACTTGGTTGCTCCGATCCCAACATTCACAATACCAACGCACTCTGCTTCAAAACCGATTCCAGTCAGATGCCACACCAGGCATCTAGCTTGAGTCTCGCCCATTCCATAGCTAATTTTCAAAGTGGAATCCCATTGTTTGCCGCATTTCCGAACCGCTCGAATACTGACAATATGTTCGCATTGTATGCGATATGGTCGAGAAGCCGCCCTGGATGACCTTAACACTCAGACAGACCCATATAGCTGGATCCCGGGTAGGCGTAATCCACGGAAAGAAGTGCCATGTCCCTCTCTAGGGCTCATTCTAATTGACGTCCGCTTGTTATGTAAGACGATAATCTCTTCTCGAAGCCGTTCTGCGTTTTTCATGGCTTTCTTCATGATCTGCGGGAACATATTACCCTCGGACTGCCATCTCCTGATGTTGCCCTCTTCTTTGGCCAGCTTCCTTATTTTGACAGCCATTTTCTGGCAGATCCTGCAGTTGCCGGCGACCTTTTTAAGATTGGTGTGGTCGAGGAGGGTCGCAGGGCACCTCTCTCCGATATGATGTTGTCGTGCACATCGAAACTTCATATTCCCCCACCTAAAGTCGCCGCATTGAAAGTCAGTCCGTTCAAAGTGACACATATTGCTTGTTGCTATGTCAATATCTGAGCACTGATGGTGTAAGGCTGTCTTCGCAAGATTTCTCGAATCTGTGATCAGGGTAAATCAAACGGGATGAATTCCCTGTACGAAGATAGGTCTCTGCCTTCTGGCCGCAAAGGAAGCTCGGCTCAGATAGACAGCTGAGCACGATAGCATAGCATAGATGAATCAGGCCGGGATCACGGGAGGTCGACGACATTGAATAGTAGTCCTTGCGAAGGCTGTGACGTCTTCTCTACCTTCCAGCTCAGCATGAAAATGGTGGCGTTCACGGCTTCACGCTCCGCGGACCATTCAACACAGTGGTGGTCGTTGTGGGCTTCGAGATCATTGGGGGCGAGCTGCTGTGAACTCTGCAGGAAGAGCAAACAAGATGTGTCTTCGTCCCTTGCATGTGGGACGGAGGGATGGGAACACTGAAGAAAGTCACCCCCTCCCCGACGTCTCGCTAGACATTTTGACGTTGACCCAATCACGAGAAACGTCAATTGTGCATTGTCCTTAAGGTTCGCGGAACCTGTTTCCGAGCGCCTCTTGCATTGCCTTTGAGAAATGGGACCGAAAACAAGCCCTGACGATCGGACGAGACGGATAGAACAGATCGTGGGTTGAAGAATAACATTATGCCATACCGAGCGTTCCACGGCATGCTAGTGACATACATGTTGTCAGCAGCTCTGGTTGGCCCATCTCCATTGGTGTGATCGAAGGCGAAGGGCACCCAGGAGGAAGGAGACTCAGCTGTAGGGACATCGATAGGCATCCAACAAGGGTTGTCTGATGGGTGATAACTGAAGAATGAGAAGTGAGGGAATCAGTACCTCGTAATTGGTTCGATGACTTGGTCACTCGCAGCCTTGGCGCATGATGCGGCCGCAGAATCGATCCCACCAAATGACCAAGAAACTTCAGCTGATCGAGCCTGTATGCATGCAAGTCAGTTCTATGCTGACACTGCAAGGTAGTGCCCAATCGAGCGACGCAGGACAGTAGCTCCTTGTCACATTGATCAATCGTCTCAGAGCACACAACCTCCTCCACCATGGCACTCCTCCTTGCCTTGCCTGGTTGTCATCCTCCCGCCCATACGCTCGGTGCCCACGGCATGCAAGATTTTCTTGAAGAACTTGGGTCAACCTAACACGAGAAGAGGGGCTTGACGGAAGTGGACTGGCTTGCCCGATTCCTTTCGTCCCAGGGACCTGGATCTCCTCCTGGCCAGCCTGCGTGCGACAAGGATCTGCACCCACCACAAGCAAGACGAATGTCATCGCAAGATTGCTGCTGCCCATCATGTGGCAAAATGTGCGTCGAGGATAACGAAAGAGATGGCTCAGGCTACCTCGAAAGCTCGTGTGTTATCACACAGCAACCCAGCACCGTATCACAGCGCTCACAGCAAATGCACTAAGGAGTGACGGGTCAAACCTCATATTAAGAGTTCGGTCATTTCTTTACCGGCATTGGACAT